ACTCTACTTGTCTGCCAAAAACAAAAATTTAACCCTCTTTGAAGGAAGATGTTATCTAGAGCTGCTACAATTTTCCATCTTTAATGACCATCATCCAATAAAAAACCATAAGTTATACTAAAAGAGGGACCAAATCATTGAAAACAAAGGGGAAAAATAGAAAAAGATCCACAGGTGACTCATAACTCCACCGATCCTGGCCACTTTTCAACACAATCTATGAAAGCTAGAAGAGAATGGGAACATAATTTTAAAGTATTAAAAGAAAAGTCTCTGCCAACGAAGCATCCTATTCCCAGCAGGAATAGAGTTTAAAGACAGGGACTTTAAAATAGCTAGGACTAATATGTTCAAGAAAACATATATGTTTGTAATATATTCATGTCACCAAAGACCTAGAATCAGTTTTTTAACCCAAATGGAAATTCTGGAATCAAAAATTAGTGTGACAAAATTAATAATTTAATATATGAATTTAATAGGTTATCAGAACAAATGACTAGCGAACTAGAAAACAAGCCAGTAGAAAAAAAATTCCAACTTACATACAGAGGGAGAAAATGATGAAAATGTAGAAAAAGGCTTCAGAGATACATGCAACATGGAGGAAACCATCTTTAACTCTCCTGCAATTAGTGTTCCACAAGGAGAGGAGGGAGTGATTTTATATAAATACTGGCTGGGAATTTCCTACAACTAGTGAAAGACATCAAAACGCATATCCAACCTCATTCAAAAAGCACTAAAAACCTCAGGCAAGATAAATATAAGGAAAATCACACCTGGGAACATCATGATTATACTCCTAAAAATTGAAGAGCAACAGAAAATCTTTTATTTTTATTTTTATTTTTGAGACGGAGTCTCGCTCTGTCACCAGGTTGGAGTGCAGTGGCGCAATCTCGGCTCACTGCAACCTCCACCTCCGGGGTTCAAGCAGTTCTCCTGCCTCAGCCTCCTGAGTAGCTGGGACTACAGGCACGTGCCACCATGCCCAGCTAGTTTGTGTATTTTTAGTAGACATGGGGTTTCACCATGTTGGTCAGGATGGTCTCAATCTCTTGACCTCATGATCAGCCCGCCTCAGCCTTCCAAAGTGCTGGGATTACAGGCGTGAGCCACCGCGCCCGGCCAAGAAACAGAAAATCTTAAAAGTAGCTAGAAAAAATATAATTACCTGACCTTCAAATGAGCAGTAAGACTGCTAGCTAAGTTTTCTTTTCTCTTCTCTTCTCTTATCTTATCTTTTTTTTTTGAGATGGAGTCTTGCACTGTCTCCCGGGCTAGCGTGATCTTGGCTCACTGCAACCTCCTCTGCCTGCCAAGTTCAAGCAATTCTCTCCTACCTCAGCCTCCTGAGTGGCTGGGACTACAGGTGCGTGGCACCATGCCTGGCTAATTTTTTTTTTTTTTTTTGTATTTTTAGTAGAGACAGGGTTTCACCATGCTGGCTAGGCTGGTCTCAGACTCTTGACCTCGTGATCCGCCCACCTCGGCCTCCCAAAGTGCTGGGATTACAGGCGTGAGCCACCAATCCCAGCCAGTTTTCAACATAATCTACGAAAGCTAGAAGACAATGGGAACATAATTTTAAAGTATTGAAAGGAAAGTCTCTGCCAACCAAGCATTCTATTCCCAGAAGGAAAAAAAAAAATCCATTAAACATCCCACATATCCCTGGAAATGAATCCTCTGTGAACTTGTTCTGCATATGGGGATTTGATGCCAGATCATTGCTGATGCTCCTTCTCAATATGGAACTATTTTTAAAAAAGGGGTTATAAACTTATGAAATGGGAACCACTTGTTGGAAAGGATTTGTTATATTTATGTTAACCATAGGTCTCTAGAATAGCACTGTCCAATAGAAATATAATGAAAACCACTAATGTAAACCACAGAGATAATTCAAAATTTTCTTGGAGCAACATTTTTTAAAAGTTAAAGAAATAGGTAAGGTTAATTTTTAAAATATATTTTATTTAATACAGTATATTGAGCATTTCAACATGTAATCAGTATGAAAATTACTGAGATATTACTACTTTTTTTGTACTAAGGCTTTGAAAGCCATGACACATCTCAATTTGTACTACTAGCATTTCAACTTCTCAGTTGCCTCATGTGGATATTGGCTACCATACTGGACAGCACAGTAAGGGATGCCAGAGATGTACTAGGCAGTGGTTCTCAACCCTGGCTGCCCATGAGTGACCTCAGTGAGGAGCTTTAAAGAATGCAGATGCCGGCCAGGCACGGTGGCTCACGCCTGTAATGCCAGCACTTTGGGAGGCTGAGGCAGGTGGATCACCTGAGGTCAGGAGTTTGAGACTAGCCTGACCAACATGGTGAAATCCCGTCTCTACTAAAAATACAAAAATTAGCCAGGTGTGGTGCCATGCGCCTGTAGTCCCAGCTACTTGAGAGGCTGAGAAAGGAGAATTGCTTGAACTTAGGAGGTGGAGGTTGCAGTGAGCCAAGATCGCGCCACTGCACTCCAGCCTGGGTGACCGAGTGAGACTCCTTCTCAAAAAAAAAAAAAGAATGCAGATGCTCATGCAAGGCTGCAATTAGGGTAAGGCAAGTGAGGCACTCTTCCTGAGCACAAAATTTAAGGAAACACAAACACACACATACACACAAAACCCTCATTAATAAAGATAACTAATATTTTAGTGCAATATTTTAACAACATTACTGCAAAAAATTCATTATGAATAAAATATCAAAATTTTTAATGAAAACAGGACCAGATTACTGATTTTTTCCTTTGCCTTGGGCTCCAATATGACTCAGCATGGCCCTATGCCCATGGCCCACCCAAGACCAAATAAGTCAGTATTTCTGGAAGTAGGGCCCAGGCATTAGGTGACTCTAATGTGCAGCCAGCATTGGCAGCCACTGTTTAGTCCACTGTCTGTCCCAAAGCTCAGATTTCCTGATAAAGTGGGAAGTTGATGAGTGGTCATAATTCTGGCATGTGATTTCTTTTACCAAAGCCCCTAAATATAGTTTCCTTTTTTGAGCTTTCCAGTGAAGGGAAGTTCACAGCTTTACAAGGTAGTCATTTCCACTGTTGGACAACTCCAGGGTTACCTCTTATTTATTTGGAGAAAACTGTTACAAGATAAAAAAAAAAAAAAAAAAAGGTAAAGCCATGCCTCTCATACAGATATAAAAATAAACACATGATAAAGATTTTATTTACAGAAAGAATTGCCAGGCACAGTGGCTCATGCCTGTAATCCCAGTACTTTGGGAGGATGAGGCTGGGAGGATCACTTGAGCCCAGGAGTTCGAGACCAGCCTAAGCAACATGGCAAAACCCTATCTCTACTGAAAAACATACACAAAACTTAGCTGTGTGGTGGCACATGCCTATGGTCCCCAGTACTCAGGAATCTGAGGTGGGAGGATCACCTGAGCTTGGGGAGGTCGAGGCTGCAGTGAGCTGTGATTGAGTCACTGAACTCTAGCCTGGTTGAGAGTGAGACCCTGTCTCCAAAAAACAAAACAAACAAAAAGAGGGAACTAGGCAGATATTATAACAGGTTCAAAAGAGAATCCCAAAACAGACATCTTTATAGCTCAGGAATATTGAAATTAGCAAATTGAGGCAAAATAGGTTTTTCCACAAGGGAGCAGGAAAGGGAAATCAACTCAGCCTTTATCAGACTGGACAGAATTTGCTTGTCTATCAGTTACCTACACTTTACAGAATTGTAAAATATCTCCCATAGAATCAATCTGATAAGGCAGCAGGGAGTGCTATAGACCAGCAATCCCCAACCTTTTCAGCACCAGGGACCGGTTTCATGGAAGACGATTTTTCCATGGACATGGAGGTGGGTAGAGGGAGTATGGTTTCAGAATGAAACTGTTCTACCTCAGATCATCAGGCATCAGTTAGATTCTCATAAGGAGCATGCAACCTAGATCCCTTGTTTGTACAGTTAACAATAGGTTTCCTGCTCTTATGAGAATCTAATGCCACCTCTGATCTGACAGGAGACGGAGCTCCGGTGGTAATGCTTGCTTGCCTGCTGCTCACATCCTGCTGTGTGGCCCGGTTCCTAACAGGCCACAGACCTATCTGAGACCAATCTGGTACCAGTCTGCAGCCCAGGGATTGAGACCCCTGCTATAGACAACATATAGTTTCCCATTGAAGTACAAATTTCTTTCCGCAGAACAAATTGCTACCATATATATATATATAAAATTTTTTTTGAGACGGAGTTTCACTCTTGTTGCCCAGGCTGGAGTGCAATGGCATGACCTCGGCTCACTGAAACCTCTGCCTCCCAGGTTCAAGTGATTCTCCTGCCTCAGCCTCTGAAGTAGCTGGGATTACAGGCTCCCGCCACCATGCCCAGCTAATTTTTTGTATTTTTAGGAGAGACGGGGTTTCACCATGTTGGCCAGGCTGGTCTTGAACTCCTGACCTCTTGATCCACCTGCCTCGGCCTCCCAAAGTGCTCATCTGTCACCCAGGCTGGAGTGCAGTGGCGCGATCTCGGCTCACTGCAACCTCCGCCTCCCAGGTTCAAGCGATTCTCCCGCCTCAGCCTCCCAGAGTGCTGGGATTATAGGCGTGAGCCACTGTGCCCAGCCTACCCTGTATGTTTTTAACCTATCACTCTTAGAACAGTGGTTTTCAAATTTTGATGTACACAAGAATCATCCAAGAAGTGAGGTAAAAGACAGATTGCCTACCAAGTCTTCTGAGCTTGGATGATGCTCATGAAAATGCCTTTTTAACAAGCACACTAGATGATTCTGATGCAGGTGTTCTGAGGATCATACTCAGAAAGCACTCTTCTAGAACATACTTACTCCAAATTGAGAGAGCCTTTTCAAATGTGTTCTCATAATATCTGAAGGTAGCTCTAGATTTCAAATCAAATCAATGTTAGTAGTCTTTCTGTGCCAGTAACATTTTCTGTACTTTGTTTCTGAGATAATATACTATTTCTTTTCTCCCCACTGAAATTTTACAGGACAGGCAAGGAACTGTTTTTATATTATATGAGCACATGAAGAGACACAAGTTGGGAATGTTGTGAGTATGAAGTGTATCTGTGAGTTGAAACAAGCTAAGGAAATAGACAATCACGGCTAACAAGAATGATGCTTCTCATGCATTTTAATCAGCATGCTGATTTATTAGAAGTCTATCTTTATTTAGATCTTCAGGTATTTTATTTTATTTATTTATTTATTTATTTTTGAGACGGAGCCTTGCTCTGTCGCCCAGGCTGGAGTGCAGTGGCACAATCTCAGCTCACTGCAACCTCTGCCTCCCGGGTTCAAGTAATTCTCCTGCCTCAGCCTCCCGAGTCGCTGGGATTACAGGCATGCACCACCATGCCCAGCTAATTTTTGTACTTTTAGTAGAGACGGGGTTTCACCATGTTGGCCAGGATGGTCTCGATCTCTTGACCTCGTGATGCGCCCGCTTTGGCCTCTAAAGTGCTGGGATTACAGGCGTGAGCCACTGCGCCCGGCCTAGGTATTTTATAAAATGACTTTAGATGTGTCAATGGGGGTTTATAAATATAATTGATTAATTATCTGAAATTGATGGGTAAAATTTAGACTTAACAACATATTATACCCAAATGCATACACAGATAAGGCACATCAGATCTCACTATGGGGACCCAGCTCAGTTGTCCTGACTGTGGAAGGCAGTTGTCATTCTGGCACACTTAGAAAAGTGCTCTGTGCTCTGGTGACTTCACACAATGCCCCCACAACAGGCAGGATCTGTAGCTCCTCCTCAGACAGTTTCATCCCAGGCACAATCTTTTCAAGGTACGCATGTGCTGAGCACAGACTGCTGGCAATACTCGGAGGCTTCCGCATTTCTCCCAGATTTCCCTCTGGGATATTTTGGAGCCTAGCAAAGTTGTCTCCTATCTGGGACTCAGAATTTTAGAGCCACAACCTTGAGTCATCTCTTATTTCGTATCTTGGCACATGGTTACTTGGTACCTTTAAGTCATCCTACCTAATTGGGAAACTGTCTCTGCCCTGTATTTCTCTTCCTTGTAACCTACACAGTGTAGACATTGAGGCCTCACACTGAAACACACAGAAACATATACACAAAGATCTGGTCTCATAAACACTAACCAAATAAGATCCAATTCCTCTACTAAGCATTAATGTTCCTATGTGGCCTCAGTCCTTCCCTCCCCAACCTCCCTCCACCCTACTATGGTCAGTCTCCTGGAAACTGATCCAAAGAGGTACACACTACAACAAGCAAATGGCTGCATAGGACAGGCCTCAACTTCCCTATCCAAAGTATAGTCCTTTGTTCTGCCAAAGCATCGTCAGCTATAACAGACCATTATCAATACAGTGACATTCACCCTCATCGATCCTTTTGAACTTAGGCAAACGTTCTGGTTCTTTCCCCTTTGGAACTAGAATGTGGCTACAGTTTAATCTGGCACTTACAGTCTCAAATGCTTCCCATCACCTGGGAAGGGAAGCTGGCTGTTTGAGTCCTCCCCTCAAGTTTCAATCTTTCCCCAAGATCCCATAAACATGCAAAACTTATTGGGTCTTGTTAAGAAAGTCACTTCCCTAGGGAATCTTCACCCGTTTGTCACACTGCCCTGATAGCAACAGAAATGAGACCTCAATCCATAACATCCCAACAAGCTTGCCTTCATCTTATCTACGCAGGCCTTCACATCCAGAATGATAACAGAGCCTCTGGGCATGTGCAGAGAAGGATCAGCCCCTTGCTTCCCAGTGGCTTTCTGCCCCTCAGCTCCCTCCCTGCCCTACCTTTCCCTACTAGAAAATTTGAAAGCATGTTATCTACTGTGCCAGGCACAGTTCTAGGTGCTGGGGAAACAGCAATAAGCCCTGCTCTCAGGAAGCCGCCACTGTAGAGGGGTGGGCATACAGTAAACAAGTAAACAGGTAAACGTGGTCTAGCATGTCAACTGCTGACAAGCCAGGAAAGGGGGACAGCAGTTCACTAGTAGCTGGAAGATCAGAGATTAAATTTCAGAGATTATTTCACTCTCCCCAAATGACACGGTGATGTCAGAGCTGGGCAGAACATAGACCACCAGGAATTACTGGGACTAGGAGAACCAAGCAGTCATCTGGATTTGAAGTTGGCAAGCATGGGAATAAGAAATTTGTATTTTCCCAAGTTATGAATCTAATTAAGCAGGAAACGTTCAAGGTCCAAGTATATTTCTAAGCCCAGGAATTCAGACAGATGGGTTAGTTAGCTACAAAGAACTAGAAATCAGAACCTAGAGATATGAACTCTGTCTTACTGGGCACCAGCTGGCATGAAAGATTAACTACAAAGGAGAAGGCGGGACAGGACTGGAACCAGACAAACCCTTTTGTACATAGGATGAGGCTGGGAGGGGTTAGCTCCCTTTGGGTGATGGGAGAAGAGCAACCAGACAGGCCAAACACAGGACCAAGGATTCAGGTGCCTGGAGGTCATCCTGAGAAGCAACCAGTTCATACCATCAGGAAAGTTCCAACCACAAAGAGTAAAGGGACAACCTGAGAGCTAGGTCGTGGGGAGCTTGACCAGAGGCACTCAGGAGGCCACTTTTGGAGACCCAGGCTGATAGGGGGTGGCATTTCAGCAGGCAGCAGATGTACAAATGGCCAATAAGATGTACAAATGGCCAATAAGTATATGAAGGAATGCTCAACATCATGTTATTATGGAAATATAAATCAAAGCCACAATGAAACATTTCATACCTAATAAGATGGCTTTCAGCAGGCAGCAGAGCCCAGCAGAGGCTGACACTCAGGAGCAGGACTTGTGTCCTGGAATTGATGGGATGAGACAGGGGTAGCATCATCAAGGCAGAGGCAGAGTTCCTGAGGTATGGGCCACAGGAAGAGCAATGCAGGTGGGTACTCGGGCATAGAGGAACCAGGCAAAAGGAAAACCATCACAGAAAGTAGGAGATAGAAGAAGAGCCTGTTCCATGAACAGAGAAACTCCCAGTCATCAAACTGACCTAGCAGCAAGGTGGATTTGATGCTGAAGCCTACAGAATAAATAATTAGACTGGTTACCAAAAGGAACTTGCCCAGCTGTCCCTACACCTGCACCTGAGATTTCAGGCAAGGATGCCTTGACCTGCAGGCTAGTTTCAATGGTAGAAATAGTCCTAGTGGTGTACCTTCTAGATGGTTATTGCTATTCACGCATCCTTCAGGGAGGGCAGAGTTGACATGGACCTCTCAAAAGCCTTTAGTCCCTTTCTATTGTTTTCTGCCCATCTTATTCTCATCCCTAACTGCAGTCATAGAACCAGAGAATGTTAGAACACAGAAGGGCCTCAGAATTAACTGATCTTCATAGACAGGAAACTGAGGCTTAGAGCAGGGCAATGATTTGCTTGGGTCACACAGTATGTGGTCTGTCTCCTGATCCTGAAGTTAGTGTTCTTTTCACTACACCACAAAGCCTACGCTGAGTGACCACCTTGTATAGGGAGCCCTATAATGTGACAGGATAGTTTGCAAGTTGTCTCTGAAATCTTAAAGTGGATGTTCAGGTTTATAAAGACGGCTGTTCATGAACAGGGCACATTCTCCTCTGACAATAGGCAGGACACTCTGATTAAGTGGTAGGAATCACTTGTACACATGAAATAGAAAATAAACCCCAGACAAAAGTCTCCAGAATACTGAGATGCAAATGTCTCCATAGACAAGGAAATCATTCAGCAAGGATCACACTTAGTGACATTCTCCTAAAGGAACTTAAACCATTTTTAAAATGAACTCGTACAACATCCTAGCTCAGTGGTAGACTTTTACTAGAAATGACCGACCCTATTGCTATATTTTGCTAAGTTGATTAATAAAAAATATTTATTAGGCAAATCCTTTTTGTTGACAAGTTAAAATGGAGTCTTATCTTTCATATCTCCCTGAAGATTGCCACCTTGTGAGATTGAAAATACTCATTAAATTCCGTCACCAGACAGGCACAAATGAGAGGGCGATTGTTTTTAAGCATGTGAGGGGAATCGTTGGTAAACTCATTTGTTTGGATATCATTAACAGAACAATCGGCGAGGATCTCCAGGGGGTCCTCATGACCTTTGCTCGCAATCTCTTCATCATCCATCAAGAAATATCAGCACCTAATATGCAAGGCGAGACCAATTTTAAGGTGAGGTGTTAATTAACTAACGATTCTGGTTAATTTCTATACAAGGGCTGAAAATACCTCATGCTGTATTGTAAACAAGTGCTAAACCATCTTTTTTTTATTGTAAGCAGTACATATTTTACAGTGTGCAGGGTCAATACTGTAAGGTTCCCACTGAAGCCGTTAGTTAAATTTAATGGTTTGAAACTTTTTCTTTGAAATAGAGTTGACTTTTAACTTGCTGCCATTTTCAAACCCCAGCTCCTAAGATAGCAGAGCTTTCTTATGTTGGACGTGAGTCTGAAATGTCACAATGGAACCAAAACAGAGATTGTCACAACCAAAAACTATGAATGTTATCTATCTATATTCCAGATAATATAAGGTCTGACTAGTGATTCCTAGGAAGCCCTCGTTTCTAGAGCCAGAGAAGTTCTAAGACCTGAGAAAGCAATGTGTGTTAGGGAGAAGAAGAAAATATAGCATGTATGTGGGCCATCTACCCCACCCGTTTCTCCAACGTGGGTTGGATTATTTCACTATCAACCTTTAGAAGCCTCCTTATGACCTTTAAAGATGTTGGTCCATCAAATCCAGTTGTATATAATTGACTAGAAGTCTCCAAACTCTAAACTACAGGAACAAGGTCTGTACGGGAGTTTCTGAAACACTATCTGAACAGAGATGATCACGTGGTATTGAACAGCAAGGTGTGAATCTGATTCCCAGCCTAGACCTTCATTAATTCAAAGGACACAATCAGAAACCACATGTGGTTTTCCTCCTAAATGGAAAGTCCAACAAAAGCTTAATAGAAATGTAATTTTAATACAAACTAGGGCCTAACTCCTTTAGTAACAGTAACAATAACAATATGATTTTATGAGCTGGAATAATGATCACTGCTTTCCCTACATGATTGAGAAGATTCAAGAAAAGATAGACCAAATGTTACATCAGTGTTCACTGGTCCTAAGGGATCTATGCTCATCATTTACTGTTGTTTTTTTTGTTTTGGTTTGGTTTGGTTTGGTTTTTGTTTTTTTCAGAGATGGGATATCTCACTGTCTTGCCTAGGCTGGTCTCAAGCTCCTGAGCTCAAGGGATTGTCTGCCTTGGCCTCTCAAAGAGCTGGGATTACAGGCATGAGCCACCTTGCCCAGCCTATCATTTACATTTTAAGTTCCTGCTAGCTAGTAGCATCATCTTATCTGTTAGTGCCATGTGCAAAAGTTGGAGCCTCTCTGCATTTGATCCATTCAGCCTGTCCAAATATAGCTAATAATCAGAATCAGATGCTTTAACCTCAAATGCATTCAGACTAAGTTGATTCTGAGCTTGTCTTGCTGTTGGCAGAGTCAACCGCCCTTGGTAAAATGAAAGCTATTTCTCTGCCCTTTCTCTGACTTTCAAAATCATCAAAAGTCAGATGTTCTCAGGTAGCTTTTAATTATGTCATGGTTTCTAGCCTTCTCATATGAATGATTGTTTTCTTGATTTTTACTCATGTTAGGTCTAAAGGCAAAAACTTTCAATCTCAGTAATATAGGTATAATAACAAAAACTTGAAGCAGTGAAATAGATTCATCTTTGCTAGTATTTTCTGTCTTCTACTTAGTGGCATTGTGGTAGGTATTTTCAGTTTTTAAACAAGGATTTACCAGGAAAGTAAAGGCTAAATAAAAATGGAAGGTGATGAGGTGATGCGGCTGGGCACAGTGGCTCATGCCTATAATTCCAGCACTTTGAAAAGCTGAGGTGGGCAGATCACTTGAACCCAGGAGTTCAAGACCAGCCTGGGCAACATGGTGAAACCCTATCTCTACAAAAATTACAAAAATTATCCAGGTGTGGTAGCTCATGCCTGTAGTCACAACTACTTGGGGGGCTGAGGTGGGAGAATCATTTGAGTCCAGGAGTTGAGGCTGCAGTGAGTCTGGGTGATGAGAGTAAGAATAAAAACAAAAGGAAGATGATGCAGAAAATGCATTTAACAAAATTTAACATTCTTTTCTGATAAAAACATTCAACTAAGTAAAAATAGAAGGTCACTTCCTCAACCTTAGAAGGACAGCTACCAAAAAACCACAGCTGACATCATAGTTAATGTTGCAAAACCAAAAGCCTTCTTGCAAAGATTAGGAACAAGACAAGGGTGTCTGCTCTTGCCACCTCTATTCATCATTGTACTGGAGGTTCTGGACAGGGAAATTAGGCAAGAAAAGGAAATAAAACGCACTGGGTGCAATGGCCCCACCTGTAATCCCACCACTTTGGGAGGCCAAGGTGGGAGGATTATTTGCACTCAGGAGTTTGAGACCAGCCTGGGCAACATAGCAAGACCTCATCTCTACTAAGAAGAAGGAGAGGGAGAAAAGAAGAAGAAATAAAAGTAAAAGTATCTCTATTTGCAAATGGCAAATTCTTGTAAATAGAAAATTCTATGAAGCAAGAGGATTGCTTGAACCCAGGAGTTTGAAACCAGCCTAGGCAACATAGGCAGACCCTATGTAAAAAATAAAAAATTAGCCAGATTGGTGGCACACACCTGTGGTCCCAGCTACTCAGGAGGCTGAGATGGGAAGATGGCTTGAGTAGGGTAGGCTGAGGCTGCAGTGAGCCATGATCTGCACTCCAGCCTGGGTGACAGAGCAAGACCGAGTCTCAGGAAAGAAAGAAAGAAAGAAAGAGAGAAAGAGAGAAAGAAAGAAAGAAAGAGGGAAGGAGGGAGGGAGGGAGGGAAGGAAGGAAGGAAGGGAGGGAGGGAGGGAGGGAGGGAGGGAGGGAAGGAAGGAAGGAAGGAAGAAAGGAAGGAAGGAAGGGAAAGGAAGGAAGGAAGGAAGGGAGAGAGAGAGAGAGAGAGAGAGGAAGGAAGGAAGGAAGGAAAGAAGGAAGGAAGGAAAGACAGAAAGAAAGAAGGAAAGAAGGAAAGAAAGAAGGAAAGAAGGAAAGAAAGGAAGAAAGAAGGAAAGAAGGAAAAAGAAGGAAAGAAGGAAAGAAAGAAAGAAAGAAAGAAAGAAAGAAAGAAAGAAAGAAAGAAAGAAAGAAAGAAAGAGAAAAGACAATCCTAAAGAACCCATCAACAAGTTTATAGGACATAAAATCAGTATACAAAAGACAATTGCATTTGTGTAATGAATAATGCAAAAATAATTTTTTTTAAATTCAAGTTACAATAGCATCAAAAAGAATAAAATACTTAAGAATAACTTTTTTTCTTTTTTGAGACGGAGTCTCACTCTGTTGCCCAGGCTGGAGTGCAGTGGTGCAATTTCGGCTCACTGCAACCTCTGCCTTCCAGGTTCAAGCAATTCTGCTGCCTCAGCCTCCTGAGTAGCTGGGATTACAGACACGCACCACCACGCCCAGCTAATTTTTATATTTTTATTAGAGACGGGGTTTCATGTTGGTGAGGCTGACCTCGAACTCCTGACCTCATGATCCGCCCGCTCAGCCTCCCAAAGTGCTGGAATTACAGGCGTGAACCACCGCGCCTGGCCAGGAATAAATTTAACAGAAGAAGTGCAAGATTTTTGCAATGAAAACTACAAGACATGGGTGAAAGAAATTAAAGAAGACCTAAATAAACAGAAAGATAGTCTGTATTCATCCAATAGAAGACAATACTGCTAAGATGCTGATATTCCCAAATTGATCTATAGATTCAATGTAATTCTTATCAAAATCCCGGCTGGCTTTTTTTGCAGAAATTGACCAGATGATCCTAAAATTAATGTGGAAACACAAGAGGCCCAGAATAACCAAAATAATATTAAAAAGAAAAACCAAGTTGGAGAACTCGCACTTCTCAATTTAAAAACTTATTACAAAGCTACAGTAATCAAGACAGTGTGGTACTGGCATAAGAACACAGATATAGATCAATGGCATAAAATTGAGTCAGAAATAAACCCATACATAATGGCCAATAATTTTTGGCAAGGGTGCTGAAACAATTCAATGGAGAACAAATAATTTTTAAATAAATGGCACATGCAAATATTAAGTGGGACCTCTACCTCACATCATATATAAAAATTAAGTTAAAATGGGCTGGGCGTGGTGGCTCATGTCTGTAATCCCAGCACTTTGGGAGGCCGAGGCAGGTGGATCACCTGAGGTCAGGAGTTCGAGACCAGCCTGGCCAACATGGTGAAACCCCGTCTCTACTAAAAATATAAAAATTAGCCAGGCATGGTGGCGTGCACCTGTAATCCCAGCTACTCAGGATGCTGAGGCAGGAGAATCACTTGAACTCAGGAGGCAAAGGTTGCAGTGAGCCGAGATCGTACCACTGCACTCCAGCCTGGGCAACAGACCAAGACTCCATCTCAAAAAAAAAAAAAAGAAATAAAAAAAAGAAGATTAAAATGGATCAAATATTTAAATGTAAGAGCTAAAACTGTAAAACTTTCAGGAAAAAACATACGTATAAACCTTCATGACCTTGGGCTAGCAATAGTTTCTTAGACATGGTGCCTAAAGCACAAGCAACCAAAGTAAAAATAGATAAATCAGACTTCATCAAAATTTAAAACTTCGTGCATCAAAGAACACTATCAAGAAAGTAAAAAGACAGCCCACAGAAAGGGAAATAATATTTGCAAATCATATATCTGGTAAGGCATAGTATTCATAATATACAAAGTAATCTTACAACTCAACTACAGAAGGACAAATAATCCAATTTTAAAAGGGAGCAAAGGATTTGAATAGACATTTCTTCAGAGGAGATACACAGGCCAAGTGCAGTGGCTCACACCTGTAATCCCAGCACTTTGGCAGGCTGAAGCAGGAGGATCACTTGAGGCCAGGAGTTTGAGACTAGCCCAGGCAACATAGTAAGACCTCATCTCCACACAAAAAAATTTTTAGTTAGCCAGGCATGGTGGCACACACCTGTAGTTCTAGCTGCTCAGGAGGCTGACGGGGGAGGATTGCTTGAGCCCAGAAGGTCATAGCTGAAGCGAGTCATAATCACACCACTGCACTCCAGCTGGGGTGATAGAGCAAGACCCTATCTCAAAAAAAAAAAAAAAAAAAGATGTACAAATGGCCAATAAGTATATGAAGGAATGCTCAACATCATGTTATTATGGAAATATAAATCAAAGCCACAATGAAACATTTCATACCTAATAAGATGGCTACAGTTAAATAAAAAGGCAATAACAAGTGTTGGTGAGGATATGGAGAAACCAGAACCCTCATATATTGCTGGTAAGAATTAAAAATGGTATCACAGATATGTAAAGTTTAGCAGTTTATAAAAAAATTAAGTGTAAAATTACCATATGACCCAGCAATTCCATTTCTAAGTATATGTCTAAGAATATTGAGAACATGTTCCCACAAAAACGTGTACATTAATGTTAATAGAAGGAATACTCATAATAGCCAAAAATTAGAAACAACCCAAATGTCCATTGACTAAGAAATAAGTGAATTTTATTATATTCTATGGATAATATTTTATATAATGGGATATTATTCAGCTCTATAAAAGGAATAAAGTACTGATCCATGCTACAACATGGCTGAACCTTGAAAACATTATGCTAGGTAAAAAGCCATTCACAAAAGGTCACATAATGTATGGTTTCATTTATATGAAATGTGCAGAAGAGGTAGATTCATAGAGACAGAAATAGATTAGTGGTTGCCAGGGGCTGAGGGAGTGGGATGAAATGGCGAGTGACTGCTAATGGGGACAGAGTTTCTGTCTGGGATGATGAAAATGTTCTGGAATTGCATAGTGGTGATGGTTACTTGCAAATATACTAAAAACCACTGAATTGTATACTTTATAAGGGTGAATTTTATGGTATGGGAATTATACCTCAATAAAATATAAATAAAGTAAATGGGAAGGTGTCATTGTTTTCTTCCCAGCAACCAATGGAAAGAAACCCTCCCATCAGCCTACTAACCTTCATTTTAGGGTGACTAGACCAATGTTTCTCAAATTATCCATAATAAGGAACTATTTGTTTTGTTTTGTTTTGATCTGACTATCATGTATCAATATTTTTTAACAAAATAGAAGAAAATTTAATTACTAGAAAAATACGATGAAAAAAATTAAAGATGTACAATTGAGAAGCCCAATGTTTTTATTATTAGACGTAATAGGCATAAAAATTCTAAAAAGTTTTTCAAATTCTTACCCTCAATTTTTTTTTTTTGAGGCAGAGTCTCGCTGTGTCGCCCCGGCTGGAGTGCAGTAGCCAGATCTCAGCTCACTGCAAGCCCCGCCTCCCGAGTTTATGCCATTCTCCTGCCTCAGCCTCCCGAGTAGCTGGGACTACAGGAGCCCGCCACCTCGCCCGGCTAGTTTTTTGTATTTTTGAGTAGAGACGGGGTTTCACCATGTTAGCCAGGATGGTCTCGATCTCCTGACCTCATGATCCGCCGGTCTCGGCCTCCCAAAGTGCTGGGATTACAGGCTTGAGCCATACTCTCAATTTTTTTACTCATTTCAGTAAGATTGGTAAGCCATGATGTGTAGACAAATGCCAGTCGGTAGAATGTATTCTGAATAGAACTGGTCTAAACCATGGTGAACTCCCAAAAGGATCAGATGCTTGGGGGAGAGGGATTGTAAGAGGTCTTTAAGTAATAAATATTGTCTTTACTGTTTACTTACAGACCAGCATTGCTGATATTGAAACTATTCTAAGAGTAACAAAGGAAAACAAAATGAGATATGAAGAGGAGCAACAGTCCAAAGATGATAAAAATCTCTCTAAACCCAAGAAATGATCCTGGAATACAGTACATAACATTTTGGATCCCAGTCTGGAATAAAAAGGGCAATTTTTTTTTTTTTTTTTCTGTTAGAAATAAAAGCCAGGGGAAATTGGTTTGCTTTGTGTGCTAGGAGATGAATCAGAAGAGATTGTAATGAAATGCTCTTTTTAAAACATTGTTTATTAAGTGATCTTATTTTACTTATTAAACCAAAACTTATTTGTGTTTTCATTTGAGAGTGTTGAACAATCCCTTCTTCTTCTCAAACTCAGAAAAAAGTCATCTGATAAAAGAAGAAAGTTAAAAGTCTTACTGATATCACCTCCACATTTACTTCCTCACAGGTCTCAGGATCATGCAGCTTTTATTTTTTATGTTTTATAAAGTTTTCTCCTATTTCTAATAGTTACTCTGCATTTATAGGTTTGAATAAAGGTTAAGCATTGCTATTTGTCAAAACACAAATACCTTTTTTTAAAGCTTCAAATTATATTGAAATTATATTTATATGAATTTTTTAGTGACTATCATTCATCGTGTTTTTGTTATACAAAGCCACTATTGTCTGCTATTGTTGCCATTTTTCAAAAAGTAGGATAAGCCAGCATCTAGTTAACCAAAGCATCAGAATGTATCTAGGTGGCAGTATCTGCTCTTAGTTTCAGATGGAGTGTAACTGGAGCTCTGTAGCTTGAATAAACATTTGTATTCTCTAGTTCTCCAATGTAATACGGCAGCGGGATTTTTTCAAGTTTAGTTCAACATTACACTACCTTTTAAAAGGCTGATTGTTAAGATTAGGTAGCGCTGACACTAACTTTCAGCATTCACTTCATAATTGTCCAAAAATATTTCTACATCAGTGAGCTTTACTGAAGGGCGAAATAAAAGCAAATTACAACACCAAAACTACGTATTGTTTTAAATAATGACCTTTATAAATATTTTAATGTATTGGGAAAAGGAGGAGGATTTTTGCCTATGGAATTTCAATAATTTGTTAACTGTGCTTCAGCCACAGGCTAAGAGTTTCTGTAATAAAATTAACATTTCTCTGTGTGAGCTTTTGTTTTGCTATAGTTGGAAATACATTAATTAGCCAGGTTTCCTGCCTGTGCTAGGTACAACACTGACCTCTTTTTCTTGCCAGATCTCTCTCATCCATTCGAGGGGCCCATTGTCCAGACACTTGACAGATAGGAAGTACTACATGCCCATTAGAGTCGCGCCTCGATTGAAGCCAGAGCAACATAAGGTCCAAGAGACTCATTAGTTCACTGGCACAATCGTGTCCTGAGAGTAAATGAAACCCTCTGTCTCCTTATGGCTCTCATCTGCTCTGGACTTTAAAAGAAAACTGTCTCCGTTTTGTTCGGCACAGTAGTGGATCATTCACATGGCGAGAACCCCTGCTTAACAGTACAAAACTGTTAAATCTATCGGGAAGTTTTGCATGTGAATTTTGATTAGCACTCCCGAGGCTCAAGCTGCTGGCAATAGCGAAACGAGTTCGCCATTCTACACCATTGTTTTACCCACTTGATTGGTTTCTCAGACAATGCCACTTTCCTCCTTTGCAGCTATCATTTGCATACACCACAGAATTCAGACCTGTGAAAGTGATTGGGAGCAAAGTTCTCTACCTAAACATCTACAGCTTCAAAATTAAAGGAGAAAAATTGGTATAATAAAACAATCACTTCAAGTAATTAAGTGGAAGAAGCCAGAGGATCAGATTAAATTAGTGACATGTTTTAATTACAGAACATTTGAAAAGAAGCAATAGTCCATTATCTTTTAACACATATATGTTACATAGATACTGTGCTCTTGGTAAACTAAGGCATGTTTAAAAAAAGAATCATTTATATGTGTACAATATCTAAAGTATCCTAAATATAATTTAGTCACGATGTGCCAGGCTCGGTGGCTCACACCTGTAATCCCAGCACTTTGGGAGGCCGAGGCGGGTGGATCACGAGGTCAAGAGATGGAGACCATCCTGCCCAGCATCGTGAAACCTCGTCTCTACTAAAAATACAAAAAATTAGCCGGGCGTGGTTGCGGGCGCCTGTAGTCCCAGCTACTCGGGAGGCTGAGGCAGGAGAATCACGTGAACCTGGGAAGCGGAGGTTGCAGTGAGCCGAGATTGCACCACTGACTCCATCTCAAAAAAAAAAAAAAAAAAATTAGTCACGATGAATTAATTACTGAGCTTTTGCTCTTCTAAATAGGAAACTGAAATATTTGGTGGTAAGAGGATTTTGGGGAAATTATATATCATTTTCCAGGAAGTTTTTGGGAGAAGCATACATTAAACAATGGAGGTGTCTTTGTATGAGAAATGACCCATTATTTAATGTTGAATGTTTGCAGTGGTTAGAGAACATTATTGGATATAAGTATCTCCCTTAATATATTACCTCTTTTATATTGACTTTAAATAAACCAAAAAGATTATAATATTAAATGTGCTACTGCCTACCTGTGCCGCCTACCTATTTAGTGACCTTTCCATAAGCTACTTACAGTTACTTATAGAACAAACTGGGGGCTAGGGATGTACTGTGCTAAAAGCTTCATATACATTATTTTATTGCATCTTTCCAAAAACTCCATGCGTGTAGGTACTACGACTGTTCTCATTTTACATATGAGGAAATTGAGACTTAGTGAGAGTGTCTCACCCCATGTCTCAAGCTAAACGAAAGAAATTTGGGATTTGCTCTCTTTTACCACAAATTCCAGCATGTTGTACAAAGTAGAGGGTTTAGTTTCACTTGCCCCACATCATCCAAGGAATTTGCACATTTTTAGAATAACAAATTCTAGTGTGTTGTTTAAAACATAGAAAAAAAGCAGGTTAACTTACACATACTTCCTGCTAATAAAATGAGCTTGTACAACTGACAGCATGGTAAGGCATTGCAATTATGTGATCAAAGTCAGAAGAAAAAAATGGTGTCAGTGGAATTCTCCTATGGTGATGGATCTGTAAGACTGGTGAAGAATGATGTTGGAAAGGCATAGAATGTGAAAGCTGGGAAGTCATGCCCTGAAGTTTTGAGAGATGAGTATAAGGTTAAGAAATCATAGAAGCATTGGGAAAGGCTTCCAACAAAATGTAGAATAGCCTGGAAGGAGTTTGGGGAGCATTATTTCAGCTGTGTCATCTTAAGAATTGTAAGCGTCCCATTTTTTAAGTATACAAATACATATTTTATCACAAGTAATATATTAGTAACCATCTGATAGCTTTAACAATTAATAATCATTTGTATTCATTTGGCACCTTTCTTATAAAGAGCTCAAAGCACTTTACATTTGTTATCTCATTAATTCCCAACACTGTCCCTGTGGGGAAGGTAATAAGTATTTTAACATTTGAATGTTTATCTTTCAGAATTTCTCAAGCATACATTAATTATATTTCCAAAAATGTAAATGTTCATTAGTTTTATTTTACTGTTCCTCTGGCTTTAATGTGCATAACAAATTTGTGCAACTCTTTAAATGTACTAATCATGGTAAATCGCATCTGGAAAACTGTAAATGAAGTTGCCAAGATAATGTGAGGGTGGCAGCTGGGGGAGTGGGGAAACATTCGACTTCACTTTTCTCACTGGAAGAAGTTTGGATCAACCCATCGCAATGGGCTCTTCTGTATCTTCTCCACATATCATTCCTTTCAAGAGGTGTGCCACAGGAAGGTCAGGACTGCATCTAAGAGCTCAAACCGATAGAGCTACTATTTATACTGTTGTTTTATTAATGACTTCATCAATGGGGAACAGAAACTTGAGGCATGCTGTTAGGAATTACATCCCAAAGAGTCACAGAATAATAAGGGCCAGGAACTGGCCTCCCCAGCCCTCCCTCTCTCGGGCCTGGTCTTACCTTCCTCAATTTTCTAACTAGAAAAATGGCAGAGCATAGTACCTGCTCCTCAGGGAAGCAGTCGAGATGAATTGGCCAATGTTGGGAGAGTGTTTCAAAGATGAAGCGTTCTATATAAATGTTTAAGTATTATTATTACATGACTACTTCAAATGGAAGTTCTAACTTTGAAATGTGATTATACACTTTCCAAAAACAAACCCCTTCATAACCACATATATAGGTTTATTTTTCACTCTAACAGTCTAACTCATGGTTGTGAAACTTTATTGCACTTGATGGAGGGCCTTGGCTTTTATTAGTTTTAAACTGCTGGTTTCTGGGGTATTTATGTAAATGAGGGAAAGACACCAAAACAGTAAATAATAAGCATGTCCCTGCTGTTTAAAAATCTGTTGGTGAAAACAACTTTTGTTATAAGAAGACCCTAAACATAGCACAGAAAAATATAGCTTTGCCATTAACATTTTGTTTCAGTTTTACAATTGTCACCCTATACATGTGTGTCATCACACACACACACACACACAGAGGCAGAAAGGAGAGAGAGAGAGGAGAGAGAAGTGAGCAAAATTCTACATTTTAAGATGTTTTTATTTAACAAACTGTTATAAAGTATACCAGATGGCTAATTATAGCTCCCAGAAACAAAAGGCCACACCCAAGTTTACTGCAATAGCCTCATAAGGAATGTCATCATCCCATAAACTCGACAGCAAAACAGCAGACCTTCCATTGGTTGCAAAATAAACTCCAAATTAAAATTAAAATTTTGATTCATTTAAGGATTCATGCCACTTTGCTTCCCAGGAAAGGACACAAAATATTTTGCGATCGTTGAAAAACTCAAAATTATTTAGGAACATGCTCTTTGTTTGCAGATTCCCTTTCCCTGGCTTTTCATTTTCTCGGGCTTTATTTTTCCAAGTTGAATATCTATAAACACATTGCTAAGCCAAAAATTTAGATCATTTGCAACAATAGTGAAGAATCTGAAGGTCTAAATGTTCAATAATAAGGTATTGTTTTAAAAATATGAAATATCTACATTAAAGACTTCTATACAGTCATTCAAAAATCCTGTTTCTACACCAACCATACAATCCAGCCATTCCACTCCTAGGTATTTGCTCAAGAGAGAAGAAAGCATATGTCCATACAAAGACTTGCACAGGAATGATCAAAGCAGCTTGGTTTACAA